AACAATGTTGGATAATTTTTGTGTTGACGTTTTCTATCTTTGGTGCTGTGATTGGGACAATCGATGCTTTGAAGTCTTTATGGGAACATATCACTTATAGGCCATGATTCCTTTAAAATTTTGTATTGCCGTACTTTTGAGACTTAACACAACTTGGAGAAACCTCGGAAGCACATTGACAAAATTTCGTGTCATAAACGCCGCCACTTTAAATTCTCAAAGTAAAGCTTAGAAATCAATCGCACGATGCCTCGGTTGGTATGAAAAAGAAAATCAAGGACCTTGAGTTGTGGATACAAAAGGATCAATATTTCAAATAATTTCGACAACCATGTAGCATGCGATTAGTAAAGTTCAACCCTCATTTCTCAACACTAATATTTCGCAAATAAACCATGGAAATAAAAAGATCCAATCATGTGATAGACAACATAAATTTAAAACGAGTTACAGTATATCCATTTTAACATGTAAACATCGAGAATCATATTAAGAAGTCTGCCATTTCAAGATCAAGAGTATTTCTTTCTTTGTCATAAAATTATCAGAAGTACTTATATTATAGCTTTTAAGTAACAAGTTGTTTGTAATTTTATTTCAATTACATGTACTATATATCAATCTTTGCGGTTTGGATAATAATTTGCGAAATGCACGTTTTACTGTATATTATTAAGCAAAAAGAAATTTAATTAATAGATAAAATTTTTTATCAACTTCATCGACAGAAAATAAAAATAATAATTAATAGATATATAATTCTTACAAGAGATTCAAGAATTTTAAGCACTGTATATTCCTCTTCATTTTTTAAAAAATTATCAAAAATTTCCTGAATAAACGAGAGTATAAAAAAAAATTTAATATAATATGTACTGTATATTTTTCATGATTTGAGATAGAAATTTTTTTTTTGATCGAATTTAAATTTTTACAAAAAGTAATTTGATTTTTGCAGTGGATATTTTAATTGTTTTCATTATTATAAATTTCAATTGATAATATTCAAAGCCAATCTTTAAATATGATTTAAAAAGATTAATTATTCTTATAAAATTTATTAGAATATTTTTTAAATATTGTAATTGATTAAAAACTATACAATTATTTTGTCTTGTATAAACTTTTTGATTAATTTAATAAAGATAAAATACTTGATGATTGTTTGAATTATTGTAATGAATATTACTTGTTACTACTTGTAAATTTGCCAATATCATTTGATTTTTTATTAATAAAATTAATTTATTCGAAAATATTTTATATATATTTAAATAAAAATATTAAAAAAGGTTTATAAATAAAAATTCGATCATTTATGCAATAAATAAATTCTAGAAATTTTTATTAAATTGAAATAAGGTATATTTATTTTCTTTTGCCTTAAATTTAAATTTTATTATTTGAAATAATTTACTTTATAAACCAATTGTATTTTTATTAATAAATTTATATTAAATCATTTAAAAATTTTATAATTGTATTTTAAAGATACCGTAAATAAAAAACTTTAAAATTATTTATTTATTTATTATTTTGTTAATTTTTCATTGTGAAATTTAAAGCTAAAAAAAATTTTTTTTAAAACATTAATAAAAAATAATAATAATTGCTATAGTTTTTAAAAAATCATTATTATTAATTTTATCAAGTTAAATAATAAAATCGCCAAAACAGTCAAAAATTTCAAAATATTCTTTTCAACTAGACAATGCCCATAATTCTATAGATCTTCTTTTTAACAACTCATTATCTTACATTATAATAATAGGTTTAATACTTTCTGTTCTATGATTTTTAATAAAATGATATAGGTAGTTGGATCCCGTCCAACTTTTTTGTGATCTGCACGATGTATTCATTTATGCGGGCACTATACATATAGAATGTCAATCATTCCCTATCTATTCGAAGTGTGCGTTACATTTACACAGTGCGTAATGTACACATCGTGTTTTTAAACAAACTTTTAAAATGTCATCTAACTTGGAAGATAATCTTGATGGAATCATCGAAGAGCTATGTAATTTTTATATCGGAGAAAGATTGAGAGAGAAAAACAGTGACTTAGTTCTTAGCATACTAGAAGAATATTTGGTCAAAAAGCAGCTAAAACCGGAAGATATAATTAATTACTGCCTCACAAATGAAACAAATTTTATAGTTCAAGCCATTCTTGCATCCTGCTATCGTTATGGCAAATGGATCGAAAAGGATGAACATAAGGCATTCGAATATTATCAAAAATTCGCCGAGATGGGTGATTCTTATGGTTTATTTCAAGTTGGCGTTCATTATCAAAATGG